GTAGAAAATGCAATATAATGTTATTTAATATTTGCATAGTTATATGAGTTTGTAATACTCCCGTTCGTGGTGCAAAAAGATGATTAAAGTTGATTGTAATTTTCCGTCTTTTTAAGTTTGTGGCATTTGATTTGATGAGGCTTTTTCCATGATCAATTATTAACAATGAGTATGTTATTATTTCTTTTAACTATTTGACTTGTTAAATGGGAGTTAGTGCTCTTGCTAATGCATCTACAACTACTATTAAATACTTTTTCCTTAATTAAGTGGTGTTTTAACATTTATATTTAAAACAAATTTTCTCAGATAATAATTTTGCATTTATGGCTGAGATCTTTTATATTTTGACATCTCAACTAAGGATACATCACACTTTCACAAATTTTTATCATTCATAAATGGATGGTTTAGTGGAAGTGCTTATTCAGAATTTTAAAAGGATAATATTATAAAGTATACGAACTTTCAACATTTAGATTAGGATGGTTATTTGTTATCTCTCTTATATGCATATGTCACAAAAATGTAAATTTCAATTAGTGCTTTACCATAAAAACTCTTATATGATTGTGACTTGATATTGCTATTAGAGTTGAGTTTATCTTCATAATTGCTATGAATTACTAATACTAAATCTAGAAATCAATATTTGACATGCTTTGTGGAGGACTATCTTCACTCTATTGCACCATACTTAGAAGAGAATCAAAGAATCTGAGTAAGAGATGAAAAGCTAAGATAATTTGAGATTATTAAAGACCTATACTTAGACAACAATTGATGTCGAGATTGTGTTGACTTGACAGCCTATATTAGTGCAGTTAATGACTCAAATTAAGAATTTTCATTTTTAGCTACTTAAACTTATTATAAAATACTAGATTCTTTCCTTCTAGAGGGGCTTCAAACAAGTCATATATATCTACAAGTACTCTCCTCTTTTAAATTTGATATATAGTAAAAATTATCCTCTACATTGAGCTCAACTTAATTTAATAAAAACGAAAATTTTAATTTTCATTAAAGGATGTATGAAAAGTAAATTAATAATTTATTATAAAAATGGCTTATACTAATCCATCGATATAAAAATGAAATTTGTTTTTGATAATATTCTAACTAATAGTTTATTGCATTTTGTATTTGTGTGATATGCTATAATAAGTGATCTGATTATGAAAAATCATAGATATGTAATATGTATAGCAATCAATTTGTTGTTGGTAATTAACACCTTCATCCCAAACCTACGTGTACGGCAGGGGCGAAATACACGTATTTTCAGGTAAAAGTATGAAAAAGACTTCTTGATGAAAGATTTTCACTATGGGCATGCATTTTCATCTTACTTATGGTTATATCATTGTTTAATTTGGATCCCAAGCTCAACCCCCGGTCTTGTGCTCGAATTCCACTTGGGACAACCCCCCAACAGAGCCTGCCCCGAGCACCCTGCACACCCCGACGCTGGCGAGCGGACCGATGGGGAGTCACTGGTTGGACGACCGAGACTCTCTAAGTACGGCCCACAGGTGTCTTGGTTGCTTGTGTGAGAGAGTATACATTCATGTTGTCCAACCAGGACTCCTGATGGAGCTTTTATCTCGTTGCTTGGAACTGGAAAGTTGATTCATCATCAAGTGGATCCCTTGTACCCATATTATATGAGGCTTCATTTAGAGCATTGAAAGATTTAGAGTTAATTAGATCCTTTTAAAAATCAAAAGACACCTGGTTAGATGATCGCAAACCAGGTCGCAAACCACAGCTGCAAAAGCAGCAATCTCTACCTTCCCTTTGCCAAACTTCATTACCTACTCGCAAAGAAGAAAATGACCACATGCTGACGAGGGTGAGCGGAACTTTGCATAGATTTATAGATACCACAAGCTGACGGGAGTGAATCAATTTAATTTTGTTTACAGTTCACTTGTACCCGCTTAGGAAGCACGGACATTCCAAGCACCAACTCAGCTTTGCTCTAGAGTGTATTATTGCCAAGTTTGCTTTCTTGTCACGAGTACAAATAACTGGAGTGATAACTAGGTTCAAATCCTATACGTGGTTCGCCTGGCCAAGGATATCCGAGGAGACTTAATCGAGATTACATTAGATAGAATCAAATATTCAAGATATACTTGTCTCAAAAGTCTTGCGTTGCTTTAGAGGTGGCCTAAAGTTTGGTGTGATTTGTCGAGTATTTAAAGGCATAGATGTCCCTCAGATTAATAACTCACACTATCCAAGCAATATTAGAAGATTAAATCGAAGAAAATGGCAAAATCAAGCATAGCATTCATTCTCCCACTTGCATGCCTCCTGCTTGCGAGTGCTGTTCATGTTTCAGCTTTAGACAATGATGTTAGTGGAGACCTCTCTGGTATGGTATATAACCTGGTCTAAACTTTTGTTTGACTCTTTGTCCATGTAAATGTTTTTGCAAGGCACTATGAGATCTCTAAAGACGGTGCTTCCTTCAAATGGAACTTCATCAAACATTGGTGTCCCATCGGCTCTAGTTGACAAAGTACTTGGAATTGTCACTCAAGTTATAGCTAGTTTAAAGGACCTCGTCCTCAAAGTTCCCTTGCTGTGTGTCATCCTTTATCCAGTGATTATCATCCTTGAGATCATTGTGATCTACATCCCTGGTGGCTACCCTTGCCCGATTATCATTGGCGTCATCTGCAAGTATCTGGGCAATGCCATTCCTGTGTGGACTCCAATCAAGTTCATCAAAGTTGATCTAACGGTTATCTTGAGCCTCACTGCAACTATCAAGCTTCTGCAGAGTGTGATTATCCTTGTTACTTCAAACAGTTGCATTTTCCTTGTGCTGAGTGCAGTGGTTAGTATCCTTAAGTCGGTGCTTGCATTACTCTATTAAGCTGCAATAGCGGACAAAATGCAAAATGTTTAGAATAAACAATCAAATAAAACTATACTAATATTATTGAGTGATTGTGGCACGTGGATGTCCGATTGTTGCCAGATTGAAAGGTTCTGGTGGTTCGACCAGGAGTGGCGATCGCAATTTGGGCGAGCGACGAGGATCCAGACGAAAACGACGATGGGGTGGAGCTGCTGGGAAAATCCCCATGAGCAGCATGAAGTTGAAGAACTGGAGTTTCTTGTGGCGAGCAGCTGCGGCCTCAGATGAGGGGCCTATCTCACAGGCATTGTCAGTTCGATCAACGGTTGTTGATCGAACAAAGGCGCTCAAGGAAATTCTGTGTGATGAAGGGCTTTGCAGCGTAAGGAGCGAGAGCTGGAGTCGATCGACATCGGCAGAGAGACGCTGGACGTGAATAAGAGCACGCTCAAGTTTAATGTTTTCAAGGCTGAAAGTATTAGCAAATTTGCTAATTTATGCTTAACACTGTATATCAAACGTTCACTATCAATTGGAAACTTAATAATGTACGTATATAATAAAATGAAAAGCTGGGAAATGATGATTGGTTGACCAGCTGGTTGATCATACCAGACACATGAGACCAAAGTTGGGGCCAAACACGTGTCGCGGTACCAGCCGTCTAAACAAAACCCATGCCATACAAAACTACTAAACTCACCCACGACCACTAATGACGCCTGGATCATCGGCAGCGGCGCTCTTGGCCTTCCTGGCGGCGCTCTACGCCGCCACTGATCCGCTGCGAATCGGCCCCACTGTCGGCTTCACCGACTTCCGCGCCATTCATGTGGAGCAGCCCTCGCCCGCGCAGCTAGGTGATTTCCAGGGAGATCCACACAATCGCCTCGCCGCCCGGGCGGAGGTTCGCTTCTCGGGCCAAATCTGCGGCCCCGAGAGCATCGCCTTCGATCCGCAAGGCCGCGGCCCCTACACTGGCATCTGCGATGGCCGTGTCCTTCGCTGGGATGAGGAGCAACAAGCATGGATCGAATTCGCGGTCACTTCTTCCAATCGGTGAGCTTGGGCGCCTCGAAATCCTCGTCTCGTGATAGCCTGTTCGTTTGTTAGATCTGCGTGCGCGCCCAAGGATCCTCCGCGGCCCAATCTCGCGAACGAGCACATCTGTGGGAGGCCGCTGGGCTTGCGATTCAAGAAGAGCTCGTCCGAGCTCTACATTGCCGATGCTTACAAGGGATTGCTGGTGGTGGGATCGCAAGGGGGTCTCGCCACGCCGCTCGTCACCGAGGTGGAAGGCCAGCCCCTGCTATTCACCAACGATCTAGATCTGGACGAGGATGGACGCGTCTACTTCACAGTTACAAGCTCCAAATATCAAAGAAGGTATGAACATAGCGTTAGAATTCACGAAACTTGGGAAAGTTTTCATGGCATTATCTTGCCAGGAACTTCATACTGCCGATTCTCGAGGGAGATGACACTGGCCTTCTGCTCAAGTATGATCCTTCCACAAAGCAAGTGAGCGTTTTACTTCGCGGGCTCCAGTTTCCAAACGGTGTCTCCATGAGCAAGGATTACTCCTTCCTAGTGTTTGCTGAAACCACCAATGGAAAGTAAGTTTTCGCCATCTCGATCTATCTATCTAGCTCGCTATCCAATTTACAACTTTGCTTTGATCCAGATTGACTCGCTACTGGCTCAAAGGTCCCAAAGCTGGAACTCCAGAGCTCTTCGCCATTCTTCCTGGCCACCCAGACAACGTTAGAACTAACGAGAATGGAGAGTTTTGGGTAGCGATACATGCCTTGAGAAACCCGCGATGCGTTTCCTGGGGCCCCGTCCAAGGCTGAGAGACTTCCTCGTCAAGCTCCCAATCCCTGCCAAGATGATTGCCGGAGGAAGTCCTTACGCTCTGATTCTCAAGTATGATGCCGATGGTAAGCTAATCGACGCCCTCGAGGATCACAAAGGCCAAGTTGCTTCTTATGCGAGCGAAGCCGAAGAGCACGATGGTCACCTCTGGCTGGGGACGGTCCTGTTGAACAAGATCGTTGTTTACAAGCTGTGAGTGATTCCATAGGCAAGGCAAAATTCGGTGCTGCTCACAAAGAAGTTGGATAAGTACAACATATATTTCCAAGCAATTACATTCAAGAAAACGACTCGATTTCACAGACTGGACTGGTATATCTTTTTAAGCCGACGCCGCTGCATGGCTCATGCCGGACATTAATGGCTCCCTGGCACCCACGGCAGAGGCCGGAGGAACACTAATGGACCTCTTGCCTGACATCGAAAGAGCAAGAAAGTTATCAGCGTCGAGTAGAAAATCCACCAGAATTTTAATAAGAACGTACCGAAGAAAGCTACGCACGAGAGGAGCAGCATTGAAACCCCTGATAGAAGCAAATCCATACCAAATACGACAGCAAGCGTTACCAGGCCCAAGCGCGGTGCCAGGAGTAGCACTAAAAATGCTAGTACCACGGATATAACACCACTTCCCATCAAAGTCGGCCAAGTCGCGAAGTTCCGGACCTGGGAGGCCATCACAGCCTTGAACACCCCCTAAACGAAGAAGAAAAATAAACAAGAGGTGTTAGTGATCAAAAGAAGAATCAAGCGCTTACATGAAGAAGAAACCACATAGCCATGACGACGATGAGCAAGGTGCCGCTGCGTAGAGGATGGATGACCATCAGTAGCCCGACGATCATATAGAGAGCTCCCAGCAACAAGAAAGAGCTAGTCCCAGGTGCTCCACACATGAAGAAGAACTGGATGAGAGCCATAGCACCGCCAAACACGAGCAGCCAAGAGATCAACTTGCCGATAGCCAGCGTGAAGCTCAGGGGGAAGACGATAGCCACCAGGCCAACGAGTACCAAGCCAGCTCCATACACAGCCAGGTTGATCGTAACTTTGTCCAGGTGATCCTCGGAGATGTTTCCAGTGATCGTTCTCATCTGGAAACGCCTGAAGTAGCTCCCGGTGCCTGGCAAAGCAGCGGTGGAGTCCCCTGGAACGTAAGAATCACCTGGTCTTGGTGATGTTGCTGCTGCTGGATGAATCGCATCCTTACTCGCCATCGCTATCGCTTACTCTGAGCACTGCCTTCCTTCCAGTCGAGAACCTCAGCTCATATAGACTAAAAATCCCGGATCATGCATCGCCCTTCTAGCTCTATCCTCCAAGTTTTAGAAGTATCTTGCAGGCTGCCAAGTGTACCAACATGCAGACCCTGCCCCCAAACTGGCATTTACGTAAATAACTGGGAGCTGGAAGCGCGCGGTTATTTGGAAACAGCTTGTTCGATTCTTTGCTAAAGGATACGAGCCTAAGGTTTTCACTTTTGTACCCAGGGCTGTTTAGTAGCTCTCGTCTTCACTTTCTGACCTCCGCAAGTGGAAGCGTAGACAATTGACCAGAACCTGGAACAAGCAAAAGCATAGTTTGAGGCAACATTGCCGTTAACATGTTAGTATAGTACCTCTGCTAGAGACTTGGTCAAGGCTGCACCTCCGTAGCTCACATGAAACCTGTCTCTCGCCACCAGGCCCTGTTTAACGCATTAGTATTTGAAAAAGAAAAAGATCGTCTCCTTACTTCTGTATCAATTTCTGCAGATTCCACTGTGACGCTAGTTGCAGTGATCATCTCCACAATGTCCAGGAGTAAGCCCGGTTTATCGGCTGTCTCAATTGTTAACAAGCTGCATTGATCAAAGTCTATATAGCGTTTGTGTTTTCAGTCTTAAAATGTGATACCTTCTAGCGGGTCCCTGATCGGTGACAGTGATATGAGTTTTAACGTCAATCTGAAAAAAAAGTCACCGAGTTATGTGGTTGTTTTTTCATGGAATCGAACCTTCTTTGGAGGTTTCTTCCCGAAAGCTTCTCCCATAGCCAGTTTTTCGCTGGACTCCTGGAAGCATTTGCGTTTTAGCGTCATGACTTTGGAATAAAAATAGAAAACACTTACTGGATGATACTGCAAAAGGTTGCTGATGATTGTCAAGCGGATCGATTCCAAAAGCTCGGGATCTTCAACCTTGCGTCCAGTAGCTCTACAGTCATTTCCTTTTAGAAGACCTTGTCGTATAGAGGGGCGTAAGCACTTACGCACGGGTGATGGAGAGCCTGTTGGACTTTGTCTTCCCTGACACAGCCACAGAGCCTTTCACCACATTAAGCCCCAAATCCTTCAAAGCCTTCATCTATCACGATGAGAAGCATAAAAAGCGCATGAGAAACTTGGAAGGAAATCGAAAGAACCGTATCAAGAAGAGCTCCAAGCCGATCCCCATAGCTGAGCTCCACGATGGTAACGTGAGGATCGGACTCCTGATCGATGTGAACTATCGGCAATGGAACTGGCTCCTCTTTGATGACGACGGAATCTTTCGGTGCGCATGAAAACCTGGCGAAAAGAAAGTGAGAATCATCGCGAGGACCTCGCATTCTACGCTACCTGCTGGAAATCCTGCGGATCGCTGTGAGACGCAGCTCGGAAAGCCTCGCCGTCGTCGTCGCTCTGATCGCCAGGATCGGCGACGCCAGCGCGTGCTCGCGATCGGCCGCAGCAATGCCGATCGATAATCCATCCCTGAGCGCCGGGTGCGCGATCGCCATGCCCTCCGCCAACACGATCGAGGAGGAGCCCTAGAATAATCGGCGCCATCCTCGATTCTTTTTTTTTCCTCGGCCCGTCCGTACATGCCCCATAACCGTACGGCACCCAGCTCTTTTTTATCATACTTTAGGGTTTTAGTAGACCTAGGTTTTGAGGGGAGGGCGAGGCGCGTGGAGCGTGCGCCTTGGTGCGGCAGTTCGAGGTGAGTGGCCACATCGCGTTTTTGGGTGCGTCCATAGATCAAGCACTAGTGATTTTGGCGCTTGCATCGGCCGGCTGGGGTTATGAGAGCTCGCGCTCTTCACTGGTGTGGCGGCGTGAGTGCGTGGTGTGTGTGGCGTCTTTGTTGTGGAAGCTTTTTTAGGATATTTACTTGTTTTGTGCATGACTAGATGCGTGGCGGCCTTGGACGGAGGAGAGTTAGAAAGCAATGTAGGAGGGTGGCATGTTTTGGATGTGGGGGATTTTTTGTGGAGTAATGGAGGGAGCGATGGAGCTTTCCTCGGGCCGAAAGTCGTCCTGGTCTGCCTCGCACCGCTGAATGCTACGTCCTGCTTGTTTATGCGGAGTTTCTACCGTAAGCCCTCTTTTTCTAATCTCCCGGTGATTGTCCTTGTTTTAGCCATGAGTCGTTCCAGCAGAACAATATACGTTGGCAACCTTCCCGGTGATGTGCGAGAGAGTGAAATCGACGATTTGTTTTACAAGGTAAGACCCTTGTTTCGTTTTTATTTCGTCTAAAAATCTCATTTTTTTCTTCTTGCTGCAGTATGGGCGTATCTTAGATATCGATTTGAAGCTGCCCCCCAGGCCTCCTGGTTATGCTTTTATAGAGGTATTCAGCTGAAGCATTTGTCCTTTGCAGCTTACCAAAGTTTTTTGTTCTCGCTCTGTCAGTTTGACGATCCTCGGGATGCTGAAGACGCCATCAAAGCTAGAGATGGCTATGTTTTTGACGGCCACCGTTTGCGGGTATGCTAGAGCTTTGGATGTGGACTGACGGGCTTACTTTTACCCCACAGGTAGAATTTGCTCATAGTGGTGGTCGTGGTCATCCCTCTTATGGCGGTGATCGGCATAGCAATAGCTACCGTGGTGGTGGTGGTGGAGGGGGAGGCGGCGGTGGAGGCGGCCGCGGGGTTTCTAGGCGCTCAGAGTACAGAGGTAGGATTTTTATTTTCTCTTGCTGTAAAAACTCACATTATTGTGCTGCAGTTGTAGTGACGGGTTTACCATCGTCGGCCTCCTGGCAGGATCTGAAAGTGAGACATTCTTTCCTGTCTTTTAGCCGATTAAACTTTGTCTGGTGTATAGGATCATATGCGTACAGCTGGAGATGTTTGTTTCGCTCAAGTTTTCCGGGAGTCGAATGGTAATGAATGCTCTTATTCTAGGCTTTTTGTTCTGACTTCCCTGACGACAGGAACCAGAGGCATTGTCGACTTTACAAACTATGATGACATGAAAAACGCGGTATACATTCTTTCTTTTTGTACTTGTCAATGTTCTTATACTCTTCTTAACAGATACGAAAACTCGACGACACTGAGTTTCGCAATCCTTTTTCGCATTCATACATTCGGGTGAGCTGCACATGCTTATTGTTTGTGTCATTGATTTGGAACGTGTTTTGTAGGTGAGGGAGGATAAATCGGGAGCAAAGCGGAGCACAAGCCGCAGCCGTAGCCGCAGCTGGAGTCGCGGCAGCCGTAGCCGCAGTCGGAGCCGCAGCCGCAGCAGGAGGTAGCGATCGAGTTTTCCTTTCTCTTAAACCGAACCTGTCTTGCAGTGCGAAAAGCCGGTCGAGGTCGAAGAGTAGATCTCGCTCCCCAGCGCGTCGATCCCGCTCGCCAGTGCGTCGCTCTCGCTCGCGCTCGGCATCACGCTCTCCTGCGCGGAATGAGCTTTCAAGGTATAAGTTAAACTTTATTCGGAGACATTGTTCCTTGGTGGTATTCTCACGGTGGTGATTGTCTCAGATCAAAGTCGCCAGTTGTGAAGCGTAAATCAACGTCTCGCTCCCGCTCTCGCTCGCGGTCACGATCGCCTACACCCCGGGTAAGCCGATAGTTTAAAGGTTCGTTGAGGCGAGAACGATCGATTTGTCTCTGGCAGGCACAAGACACGGCTGCAAACAACAAATCCGGCAGCCCAAACGGACGCGGTAGTCCCAGTCCCAGCAGGAGCCCCAGCCCCAAGCCCGAGAACAACAACATCGCCACCGAGGAGAACGACACAGTCATGAACGATAAGTCGCCTGGTGCTCGGAGCCCATCACCCGTTTCGGAGGGTGCTTAAATCTAATCTCAAGAGCAAGGAACAAGCAAGCAAGCAAGCAAGAAGAAAAACAATTTTTCTAACTGTTGTAGAATACATATGCTTTTTTTTATTTTATTTTTATCAATCTGGATTCGATGTTTGTGTGCTATCGTTGTTTCGAAATAGAGACTAAGGCATAAAACTCGACAGTTGACGAAGGTTAGATAATCGATCCGGTTCCCAAGATGTACAAATCGACTTTACCAATGGATCCTCGAAAGAAGTGTGAGAAAAAAAAATATCGAGAGAGAGAACTTGGTTTTCAGACAATGGCAATGGCTTCTTCGAGGACTGGAGTGACGCTGCTCACTGGAGCCTGCGAATCCGGCGAGGGCCTCAAATGCCATCTATACGGGTCATCCGGAGCTAAAACCTTAGGAACTGGATGACTGCTAACGGGCTCGCTCAGGCTTTCATACTCCTTCTTGAGATAGTAGCCCCACTTCACTTGTATTCCTAGCCTGCCAAAGTAAACATCTTGAGTAGCGAGAAACTTTGGTGGCAGCGTACCATGCGACAAACGAGATGCCAATGACTGTGGTGAATGAAAGTGCTACTCGGTCATCCGAGAACTTGATGAACCTGCATTTTAGAGAAGAGAGTTATCAAAGCAGCATTACACCGTGGAAAAACATACCCCATAGTGCACAGCAATGCGAGAAAGAATGACACACCTGCAGGAAAGGACTCGACGTAAACCACTCGTCTCAAGTGAGTGACGACGAAATACCCCAGAAGAAGAGAGAGAACGCAGTGTTCCAGTAGTCTTTGCACCTGCAACGAAGCAAACCAGGTGTGTCAAACACTAGGCTTTTGGATTGAGATATGACTACCTGGCCGCCCAGAAGTTTTGAAACGTCCGGGAGGGAACGGGAGGGGGTTGCGACGGAGCAGCCGATTCAGCATAGGAATGGCACAGGGCCATGAATTCTTCCTCGGCATGCTCGGAAACAAACGACTTTCCCATCCGGAGAATGCATCCGAGGAGATAGACGCAAATAATCGTCGAAGTTGTCATCAAAGTTGGCTGAAAGGTTTCTTAGAATCAACCAAAGCTAAGATGTGTCTCAAAAGCACAAAAGACTTACAACGATGGCTGTACAGATCGCGTAAGGCATCAAGCGTCCCTGTCAAAAGGAAGTGTCACAGAAAGAAAAGGATGTAGGTAGAAAACTTTATCGCTTTTACCGCACGGATGGATTTTGGTGTGTTGAATTCGACCGGGGCCGTCATGGTGAAGCTCGTCACCAGTCCAGTGATCCAGCTCAACGATCGCAAATGCTCAGATTTTTCTTCCACATCTCGCCTGTTTAGCTCGGAAAATCTGTGCAAAATTCCATCTCTTCCTCCAACACTTCACAAAAGAAGAAACACTCGCCTTGACCACACGTATCGCGAATTCTCGATTCTCCGCTGCTTCATATCCTCCTCCCTCCACCTGAAAATCGAAGCTCAAATCGATCCGAGCGATCAGAACATACGATTCACCTGTGCATTTCTTCCCGGAACGCGGCCTCCTCGGCGCGGGCCTCGATCTCCTCGGCCCGAAGCTCCATATCCTCCGCCCGCCAGGCGCGATCCTCCTCTCTCCAAGCCCTCTCTCGCTCCCTCCATTCCCTCACGAGCCATGTATCCAGAGCGCTCAGCCCAACGTACGCCATTTACTCCAAAAACCCTAAAATCTCGAAACGTTGACTTCTTCTGGTCAAAGTATCATAACTGGGATATTCCCTATTACATTAAAGCCATTTGCCTCCCAAACTTTCAAACCTTGGGCGGGACAAATGGCCCGATCCGAGGGCCCAGATGCTGCCAACCGGTCTGGCTGCATCTCGACCGCCGGATCGCGGCCTTAAGCTCCGGCTGTGGAGCTTGTTTTTCCCCATCCCTAATCTTCCGGATTGCGGGGCTGGGCGCTCTCAATGCTGCGGGGCAGATCGGTGCCTCGATTGACGCGCTGTGATTAGGCATAGCAAGGATCGTCTCAGGTATTCTGGAAGAATGTCGAGCGATGGGGCGGATCGGAGGCTGCGGAGCCGGACCAGCTCGTGGACTGGATCTCAGAAGAGCGCGGGGCAGTCGTCCCAGCCAAGATTGGCGTCCAAGCGAGCGGCATTGGACGATGGTCGGGCTTGGAGCAGCGGCGGCAGCAGCAGCAGCAGCGCCGTTACGGCGCTTTCCCAGGGCAAGAAGCGGGCGGCATTGTCGAGCCTCTCCAACTCGGCCAACGTCCCAGCCATGCGAGCTACAGTGACCCCGAAATCCCAGGTTCTTCTTTTTTCCCTGTCTGTTCGTTTGTTCGTGGGCTTACTTTTAAGAGGGTGTGACTCTTTGTTGTGTAGATTGTGGTTACAAAGCCAAAGTCTCGTGGGCTTCACGAGAAGAAGGCCTCGAAGAAAGTCTCCAAGCCCGTCGTCAAGGCTGTGGCGATTGAATCGGTGCCAGACAAGAGTGATAGTGTAGCTGAGGTGGGGGTGGAGAATCTGGAGTCCCCGGCTGTGAAGGCTGACCCTCAAGCTGTCCTCTCTCTTGAACGAAAGACCGTCCAGAGTTTGTACATTTCGAGGGAGCCCAAAGAGACCGGTAAGTTGTTTCTCGACCGTCAACTATTGTAATGTCGATTGCTTTTCGAGTGTAGAATTGCAGCAGGGAGTTGCAAGCAGCAATTCCATTGATGCGTTGAAGGACATCGATGCTGGGATCAAGGATCCACAGATGTGTGGGCTATATGCTACAGACATATACCAGCATCTTCGAATGGCTGAGGTATGAAATAGTTCTGGTTGATAGTTCGTAGTAAGCCTTCAGCCTTGTAGCTCAAGAGGAGGCCGTCGACGAACTTCATGGAATTCATACAACAAGATATCAACCCCGGTATGCGAGGGATACTTGTAGACTGGCTTGTGGAGGTAAAGTCTCTCGTTCTGATTCATCGATTAATTTGAGTGCTTTCACAGGTTGCTGAAGAGTATAAACTGGTTCCAGACACGCTATACCTTACTGTGTCCTACATCGATCGCTTCCTTTCTGCGAACGTCGTCAGTCGGCAACGGTTACAGCTGCTGGGAGTCTCTTGCATGCTTATTGCGTCGTAAGTATTATCCGATCAAATGGTGGATAATAAACATTATTTTTCAGGAAGTACGAGGAGATATGTGCGCCCCAGGTGGAGGAATTCTGCTATATCACCGATAACACGTACTCAAAGTCGGAGGTCGTAGATTGATCTGTACTTCGCTCTTTTCATACGCTAACTGTGTTGTGTAATCAGCTCGTTGACATGGAGAGGCAAGTGCTCTGCCAGTTGCGGTTTGAGCTCACAACTCCGACAATTAAGACATTCATCCGACGATTTATGAGGGCTGCTCAGGCAGCGTACCAGGTTTGTCTTTCGATAGCAAGTGTTGCTAATTCGAATTGAGTTAAAATTTAGGAACCATCTCTTCAGCTGGAGTTTCTTGGAAATTATCTAGCAGAACTTAGTCTTGTGGAGTACAGCTTCTTAAAATACATGCCGTCGATGATTGCTGCATCAGCCGTTTTCCTGGCGAGGCTTACTCATAATCCTGCGGCAAAGCCTTGGGTGAGTGTTACAAGCTTCCGCTATTAAAGCTTAACTGTCACTGTGTTTGCATTGCAGGATGCAACATTGTCTCGTTACACCCGCTACAAAGCCTCGGAATTGTCAGAATGTGTGGCTGATATGTATGATCTACAGCGGAACATCAAAGGCTGCGGACTGCCAGCAACTAGAGAAAAATACAAGCAACACAAGGTAAGCTTGCTTTTGTAAATAAAAACCACATGCAAACTATCTATCTCGTCCTGGCAGTTCAAGTGTGTCTCAAGTTTGCAACCCCCGGTTTTGGCTCCCGAACACTTTCAAGACGACGTGTAGAAATAAGCCACCACGCTCGAGCTCGAGCTTCTATCCTGTGCTCCCAGAAATGCGAGGAGGAGCCGTCTGTAAACTACAGAACCTTATAAATTATCACGAAAGCTCCTTTTATTTCGGTAAAACAGGCTGCGTTACATAGGTACTTATAAGAACACTACTGTGAATTCGACTTAGACAACGTCCCAAAGATCGTTTGCGCCTCTTAACGAGAGAACGTCAGTGCTAGAAAGAAAGAACAGACAGAACAGTGAGACAACGAACGAGAACTACGAGACAGGAGAAGCAAAGAGTGGAAACCATCTCATCTTACCTCCACACTTTTTTGGAAGCGTTACTTTGCAGGACGCTGCCATGGACTTGATGCGAGCGACATTGACTGCCGTGGCAGACGTGACGAGGTAGCAGCAAGAGACTGGAGCAGCTTTGATGGCCTTGCAACACGGCAGATGAGGAGGGCCAGTGCCAATGTAGTCACTGTAACAATTGGTGAGGAGACTCGCGGCGACGTTGTTACAAACATTCGGAGGAGGAAGAGCCGACTCGACTTTGAGAAGCAGCAACAGCACTAGTGACACTAGCAGGATCAAGACGTTGCTAAGGTACTCTTTTCCTTCCATCTCTCACAGCCTCTTTTGTTTTCATGTTTTTGCAGTGTCCGAAATTTATGGTGAAGGGGGTGACGAGGAAAACAATGCTGAGTGTTCGAGCTTTTATTATTTTTGTTTGATTTATGCTTGCTTTGAATACTTGTCGAGAGCCAGAATAATATCGTAAAGCAAGCTAAACACGAGTTACAAACGAACTCAAATGAAAACCAACAAAAACAAACGAAGACAAACAAAAACATGTGGCAGCTCGTGAAATACTTTTGAGCAGTGTTTCTAGAATATTCACTCACATCTTTGGGGCATCTATGGCGCCATTCTTATGGGATAATCACCTTTGTGGCACAACTGACTGCAGAGCGATCTTTCTGTAGAGGAGCTGCATCTTTGTGGAGATGCCTATGGACATGAAATTGGCATACTTAGCGGAAAATGACATTAGATTTCATCTTCCACAAAGAAGAGTTAGCAAGGTAGGCTTTTGCCTTTGAGACAAGACTCCAAGGAAACCAAACATGGAAGGATACCTTGCCTTCAGCTCTAGATGCAAATTCCTTGCCTTATTCCCAGGAGATTGGAAGGATAGTATATACTTCACTCCTACTCTTCACCCCATGTTTACAATTTTTTCATGGAGACCGAGCTCATAAGACTTGTTCTCGGTGGTGAAGTAGAAGTTTTTTATGACAGTTGCGGCTGGTGAAGTCGAAGCCACCACTATAAATCAAAGAGCTTGACTTCGTCGCAAGAATCAAAGGTGATTTAAAACTCATGGTCATGGTGGGGACGTGTAAGATTTGATGGTGGTAAGTGTATTGTCCATGATGCTACCAGGAAGAAGACAACTCATCATGGGCGAGGCAATGCTACAGCTATTGTTACTAGAGCTAGACTAGAGGTGGTAAAGCTAGAACCACCAAAGCTCTAGACTAAGAACTTAGCTCAAACTTGAGTTGCCCCATCCCCCAGAGTACTTCACCAAAAATTTCCACCTGAGTTCTGTGACTCTCCATCACTGCTTTGCACTCAGCTGTGCCATGGAGGTGATTAGAAGAATGGACAGTATTAATGGGCTATATAGATGCCCCAATGTCTAAAAAAGCTGCCACTTAATTCGTTTGTCTTCATTTGATTTGATTTGATTTGATTTGATTTTGTCTGAATTCCCTTGAATTCGTTTCAATTCTTTTGTCTTTTTCTGTAATTCGCTTTTAACTTGGTTTACAAATTGCAATTATAGTGGAAACTCTTTAAGGGATTGTTTCATGGTTTCAGCCAATCAAACAATCAAACAAGAGATTCTTATCTTATAGCTTGCAAGTCATGAGATAAAAGAGTACTTTATTTTACTTAACCTTTAAAAATTTTAACCTTTATAATCCATAGTTTTCTGACAATCCAATGTTATACAATAAACATGGGCTGTAAACATGATTTAAATTAGTATCAAAACATCTATAATTACAAAGGAATTAGAAAATGTTTAAGATTAAAAAATATTCTAGGATATACTTGAATATATTAGGTATTTACATACTTAAATTACTAATGTGAGGGCCAAGTATCTAAATACTTGTGGGTATAACCTACGTGGTGTTTAATAATCTCCAAGAATTTGAATGTAGGGCCCATATATTCGTATCTTATTGGTATGCCCCTCTTAAAGCTGGGAGCCACTTTGTCTAAGGTCGCAGCTCCTCCATGCAATCTGTATATTGGTAGACTACATAGCCAAAAGGTGACAGTTTTTGTTTCTATAAGATTAATCACTAGTCTTGTGTAATTGAAAAACCAAGCAAGTAACTCAAGCTGTTCTGTAGTACTATGCAGGTGGAAGCTAGAAATAGCAAATCATCCACATAGAGTAGCATGTATAAATATAATCCGGCCATTTGTATCTTTGAGAGGTGGTTATCAATGAACAACACTTCAATTGCGCTGATGTAAAGGCTAAGGAGACAGTCACAAAATCAGCGAGGATGACTACGTACCTGTCAAAAACTTTTTTAAAGTGTACGAAGCGACAAAGCAAACGCTTGCCATTCACCATCATCCTTTCACGTATGGTACGAAGCATGATGAGGTGGTCAGGACAATTGTATTGTGGTCAAAAACCCGCTTGCTCGTTTCCCATAGGTCTCACGCCATTTAACCAATTTCTTCTCGACCACAGGCGAAAAAGTTTCGAGAAGATGGGGGAAACAATAATCGTGCGGTAATCATCTCATCTCTTAAAACTTTTATTTTGGCCATGGCCCCAGCACACAAATGCGAGCTCATGTAGTTAGCCTAGTTAGCTTAACCAATCAGTAAACTAGATTATGCCAACGTTTTATTCAGAAAGGTTGAGGCCGAAACGATCTAGACTCGATGATGTAGAATTCCCACCATGCTAAAACTCAGGAGTTCCGAAACAAGCTCGAAAGATTGTCTCCCAGGACTGCGATGCACTCCACATAGACGCACCACAATGCACCCCATGGATAGAGCATTCAGCTGGAAGTCTTGAAGTTCCATAGCCGCAGCTCAGTGTCACTGGGATCAAAGCGAGGCCACTCCAGCCGCAAGAGACGAGCGCGTAGCCAGCCGTGAAGGAGCCAATGCCTGCCACAAATGCGGGCGAAATTATAGAATGGGAGAGTTTCTTTTAACATTGTGCCTTGTGGAGAGTTTGGGAGGAATTGGAGTCTTTGTATTGAGATTTTGAAGAAAAAAAATGGCGGCTGATGGACGATGCTTGTGAGTGGAAGGACAAATGCTCTTGGAGCTTTTGCATGGACTTATGGTAGAAAACAAGATTACTTATCACCGTTTTAATATAGAGTCCAATGTCACCATTGGCGGTGCTGATTTCTAGGGTTTGGCGTGCGCTGGCATGGCACCGTCCAGCGAGAGGACGCCATTGCTAGAGCAGCAGCAGCAGCAATTGAATGGTGCTCCATCGGTAAGATTCTGGCAATTCTCCGGCCAGGTAGAGGCAGCTGAGATTGTGGATTCATTCTTGTGAAGGGGGCGAAGGCTGCTCGTGCTCGATCAGACCTTGAGAGCGGGGATGTCCAGGTAGTCTTGAGCTGAGTTTCTCGTGTTTGCGATGACAACTCTTCGTTTTCCAGGCAGAGAATGTGGGGTTTGGGCGAATCCTTCGACTGGTAAAAAAGTTCTTCGAGCTTGCAAGACTCAAATGCTTTGTTCTTTGGTGTTTTTTCTTCACAGGCTCGGCCAGAGTCGGGGATGCTGGCGCTCGCAACGTTTTCTCTCGTGATTTCCTCGCTATCAAATATTTTGCTGGTAAGGTGTCACTGGTTTTCCACTCGAGGTGATGACGCTGTTTGGCAGCCAAAATTTGCAGGGAACATCATCGACATTGTTACGCAGCACCCTGGCACTCCACAAGGACGCGCCGAAGCGCTGCACGAAGTCCATGGGATTATCATAGAAATCGTCGTTATAATTCTCGTCGGGTATGTCCTTTATGGGTTTGTGGTTTTCATCCAGTTTTTGCTGGTTTGCTGGCAGCACAGCCGCAACAATGCTGAGATCTTACTTGTTCACCGCTGCAAGCGAGCGAGTTGTCGCTCGTTTGCGGAAGAACTTGTTCTCGCATCTCCTCTCGCAGGTAAGTAAGAGCATTGGCTATGGTCAGCTAGAGATCTCACCATTTTACTTCAGGAAATTGCCTTCTTTGACGTGACAAGAACAGGAGAGCTCTTGAGTAGGCTCTCTGAAGACACTCAGATAATAAAAAACGCCGCCACCGTCAACTTATCGGAGGGTCTACGAAGTTTAGGGACGTCACTGGTTGGCCTTGGATTCATGTTTGAGACGTCGTGGCGCCTTACCCGTGTGTATGCTTTGTTTTGACACTCACTGAGTGGTCGGGAGTTTGTCTAATGTGCTCTTGTGGTCGCAGTGCTGGCGCTGGCGATTGTTCCAGCGATTTCTTTCGGCGTCAGGGCATTCGGCCGCTACGTTAGAGAGCTCTCGCACAAAACGCAGGCGGCAGCTGCGGCTGCGGGCGCTATAGCAGAGGTAAGTGTTGCGTATCCGTGCGATTTAGGCTGATCAGCTTAATTGCGATGTTCCAGGAGGCGTTTGGAGCGGTGAGGACCGTTAGATCCTTTGCTCAAGAGAGCTACGAGTGCGCTCGTTATGGCGAGAAAGTGGACTACACGTTAAAGCTTGGAATTAGACGAGCCGTAAGTCTTTTATTGCTCCATGTTACGTTCCTAAACTTTTAAGAACTTTTCAGCTGGTTGGAGGAATTTTTGCCGGAACAGTTTCTGGTGCGTCTACACTTTCAATTGTTGCTGTTGTTGTGTATGGTGCAAACTTAACTCTGCACGATAAAATGACGACGGGATCACTCACGGCGTTTATACTCTACAGCCTCACCGGTGAGAGAGACTCTCAATACGTATTGCTCATTTGATTTTGCTCCGCCTTTGCAGTTGGAATGTCACTAGCTTCTTTGTCCGGGCTCTACACTACTGCCATGAAAGCCGCAGGAGCTAGCAGGCGTGTTTTTCAGCTTTTAGACCGTGTGTCAACAATGCCCAAGTCCGGGAATACTTGTCCTATGAGGTAAGCCAGAGCGTATTTGCGAATGTTGTCACATCTGTAATTTATTTTCAGTGATTCCGAGGGAGAAGTTCAGCTGGTGGATGTTTGGTTTGCGTATCCATCCCGTCCAAAAGATTGGGTTCTTCAGGTATTAAAATCGTCTCTATCAGCATGAAACCTGTGATTCCTTTTTATTTTCCGCAGGGCGTGAACCTTTGTTTGAAACCGGGAGCAAAAGTTGCTTTAGTTGGGCCAAGCGGTGGTGGGAAGGTAATTAATCCTCCAAAAGTTTCGTAACTCCCAACTATAATGACTTTTGTTTGATGTAGACTACTATTGCTAACTTAGTAGAGAGATTTTACGATCCCCAGAAGGGAAAAGTTCTTTTCAACGGGGTGCCGTTGCCTGAAATAAGTCACCGGCATTTGCATAGAAAGGTACGTACAGTATATATAAAATATTCGCGCTCTAGATTTTCTCGTTCTTTATTCAGGTGAGTATTGTAAGCCAAGAGCCGGTGCTCTTTAATTGCACCATTGCCGAAAACATATGCTATGGGCTGGACGAGATCTCTCCTTCCGAGGAAATTCAAAGAGTATCTGTATGTTAATCGTATCATGCGCGAATTTTTGCTATAATTCACTGCACTTGTTTTGCAGATGATGGCCAATGCTCACGAGTTCATCTGCAAATTCCCGGAGGGTTACGACACTCACGTTGGAGAACGAGGCGTACGACTCTCGGGAGGGCAGAAGCAGCGTATTGCCATCGCAAGAGCATTGCTGATGGATCCAAGAGTCCTTCTTTTGGACGAGGCAACGAGTGCACTTGATGCGGAGAGTGAGTTCCTAGTACAGGTAAGCAAGGCATTCTCAAATCTTTGTCAAAGCAACTTCATGCTTTTTGTCTTGTCACTCTAGGATGCGATGGATCGTTTGATGAAAGGACGAACTGTCCTCGTGATCGCACACCGCTTGTCAACTGTCAAGAGCGCTGACACCGTAGCAGTAGTCACTGATGGGAAGATTGTGGAGAGCGGAACTCACGACACCTTGCTCGAGAGAAACGGGATCTACGCGGCACTAGTCAGGAGACAACTCCAGGGATCACAGAGAGAGCTTTCGCCGGACTTGGGAAATGGCATATAGTCAGGTAACGTAACAGGCACATTCTTAAGATCGAACCTTCATAATTGCTTGTGCAGGGGAAGTTTTTAGCCTCTACTACGAGTATAAGTTCCCTCTCTCGAAACAGCTCTCGGCGGTACGACTTCTCATTGCTGTTTTTGGATGCAGTGATAGGATCCAGTCTCGGTTGGATCAAATCACTCGAGACAAAGTTTTCTCCCCACGAATTTAGTAGAACTTTGACTTGCGAGCTTCGATCGATCCAGCTTACTTACGAACAATTCAAACAAACCATTGTTTTGTTTTGTTTGTCTCTCTCTTTGTTTTGAAGAAACCCAGAAACCCAGAGCCAGCAAGCCAGGAAGGAGGAGACAGACACTCCCAAGTAAGCAAGCATGTTCTTCAAGGCTTTAAAATCGCCAGTGGCTTTCTCTTGTATTAAACAAAGAAAGGTCCCTTTACAAGCAAGGGAATATGCTGGCTATGGAGGGAGGCCGGCCCCCAAAACTTAAAAATCCCCCATTTGAATTGTTTGCTTCCGCAACGGACTTTTCAGTTCCAGTCCCTATCGCCAGCTTCTTCTCTTTTTTTTTTTCTCTCGCGTTCTTAGATTATAAGCATGCTTAAAGCTTTTAACCCTCCCAAAAACATTCAAAAACGGGCGGGATGATTTAACATGTGCCACGTCGGCAAAGACATGGCATAAAGCTGGCCCTTGGATGCGGCTCATCGACGGCCAATGCCGTTGCGGCTTCCCTTCCCCTAATCTTTAGCTCGCTGCGCTGGGGCGTCTAGCTCGATCGATCGATCGATCCACACTCTCTCCGCGGCTACTGATGCCCGGATTTGCTCGGCGATCGGATTGATGCTGTTGCTGGCCGCGCCTGCGATGACCCCCGGGGGAGATGCCTGGCAATGCCTGTGCCGCTGCGCCACCAGGGCCGCCCGGGTGAGCGAGTAGCAGATCTGGAAGGGAAAAGAAGCTGCAAGAGATGGCGTCCAAGCGATCTGCCATGGACGACGACGCGCGCCTGGCGGCGGCGCCTTCCACTCAGGCCAAGAAGCGCCCGGCGCTGGCCAGTCTTTCCAACTCGTGCAATGTGCCAGTGGTTCGCCCCGCCATGGCTGCCGCCGCCGCGCAGGTAAGCGTAGCAGTGCCGAGTTCTTCGCTTTCTTGGGTCGAATACTTCTTGGGCTGTGGCAGATTGTGGGAAAGGCCAAGGCTTTATGCGCAGGGGACGAGAACGCCCCATCTTTGATGCATCGCGAAGCTCAGCAGCTTTTACAGATCGATGAAACGTTTGAGTCTCCGGCTGCCAAGGCGAATCCGGCCGCTGTCGCTTCCTTGGAGCGTAAAACGGTGCAAAGTTTGTACATTTCGAGCTCGCGATCTTCAGGTAGGAATGAAAGAACGCTTCTTTCTTTTTATCCTTGTGGCAACAAAAGTTTCTTTTTTTTTTCCTTTGTTTGTAGAAACATTGCTCAAGAGCTTCAAAGACATTGATCTGGAAAACAAGGACCCCCAGATGTGTGGAGTTTATGCCACAGAGATCTACCACCATCTCCGAATCAGAGAGGTTTGTAGTTTATGTTCTTCTCGTTCTTTTTTTTCTTGTTGGATTTTTGGTTGTTGGTTGATTGTCTAACAATCATAATTTGATTGTGTTGCTCCGCCAGCTGAAACGAAGGCCAACAACTAATTTTATGGAAGTCGTGCAACGAGATATCAACGCTAGCATGCGAGGAATTCTAGTGGATTGGCTGGTGGAGGTAATGCATTCGGCTTTCTTCTTTGTTTGTTCTTGTGATCTGTTCTTGACTGGAATTTCCTGCGGTGATTTTCCTCTTCGCAGGTTGCCGAGGAGTACAAGCTTGTACCCGACACACTATATCTAACTGTTTCATATATAGATCGTTACCTTTCTGCAAACGTTGTCAATCGTCAACGGTTACAGCTGCTTGGAGTTTCTTGCATGCTTATTGCCGCGTACGTTCATTGTTATAAGCCCGGGCATGCAGTGTAAAAGGCGAGTTTTTTTTCCTTTCAGAAAATACGAGGAGATTTGTGCTCCCCAGGTTGAGGAATTTTGCTACATAACCGACAATACGTACTCGAAGGAGGAGGTATGTTGAGTTGCTTTCTCTCATTGATTAGATCTAATCTGTTTCTTTGGACAGGTTCTTATCATGGAGAGACAAGTACTGAACAATTTGCGGTTTGAGCTTACTACTCCCACGATCAAGACATTCCTAAGGTGAGGACTTTACGTTTTGCACTGGTTGTATTAACAACTCTGAATTAGACGGTTCATGCGGGCAGCGCAGGCTTCTTACCACGTAAGTTTTTGAGTTGCAAACTAGTGGAGTGTTTCTTATTTGCTTATCTTTTCTCAGACCCCGTCTCTTCAGCTGGAATTCCTTGGCAATTTTCTAGCCGAACTCAGCCTCGTTGAGTACACATTCCTCAAGTACAAGCCATCGATGATCGCTGCGTCGGCCGTTTTCCTTGCAAAGCTTACAGTCGACCCCACTGAAGATCCTTGGGTAAGCCATTTTTTAGCGGATCACATATCAACAAAATAAATTCTTGTCTGTTCCAGAATGGAACGTTACGACACTACACCGGATATTGTGCGTCAGAGTTAGCACAGTGTGTGCGCGACATTCATGAGCTGCAGTGTAACACCAAAGGCTGTGGCCTACCGGCTGTGAGAGAAAAGTACAAGCAGCACAAAGTAAAGTTTTTTCACCGCTCCATATCTACCAGAAGTTTTTCCATCTCACGGACTTCTTCTCAATCGTTTCTGCAGTTCAAATGCGTCGCAACTTTGGCAGCTCCATCGCCTATCGCTGCGGAGAAATTCGAGGACGAGGTGTAGAAGAGTTGGGGGCGGTGCTCGTAAACTAAGAGCACACTTGTACACTGGTACTTTTACTAACTTTATGGAGACAAATTCTTTATTTTCTTCCTTTGGTGATTTTTATTCCATTGACGACGCTTACACAGTCAGCAGCAGCAGAGTTTCGATCGATCCAGCGGCGAGTTTGGGTCGTGAGATTCGTCACGGGACAGTGTAATCTGCCAGATAAATCAGTGTTCGTGAGACGCGAGACAAGATCTGGAAGAGGAGCGAAGGGCTTACTTCCACATTTAAATCCGTGTGGGATGTTTCGGCCGCACGTAGCAGCGATGTGGACGACCCTCTTCATGTTGACGAGGCGGACGACCATGGGCGTGACGTAGCGGCAAACGCAGCGCGTGTCGGCGGCCAGAATCGCGTCGCAGCAATCCTTGGTGGGCGCCTCCGGATCGTTGCTGCCCAGGAGAGCGCTGCAATCGTTGGCCAAGCTCGCCATTTGGGTGCTGCAGCTGGCAGCGTCGATCGATCGGGCGGCAATGGCCACGAAGATCGCGAAGAAGAAGACGATCCAGCAAGCTCGAGCACCCATTTCCTTCACTGTTCTTCCCTCCAGAGGGGAGGGGGTGGATTTAAATAAAAAAGCGCGCGAGCGAGGAGGGTAGGTTTCTGGATCGTAACGTTCTCGGGAATCAGCGGCTGGGATCTGGGGGATGTTACGAATCGGGTGGCTGATTCTGGCCCGGAATCTATCCGCTACCCCTGTTCTAGGGCTCTTGGGAACGAGAAGATAGAAGGTACGAATGGTCTCAGCTCCTCGGCAAATGGAGCTGCCGCATTCCAACCGCGATTTCTCTTTGCAGAAGGGCAGGGGATGGCAGCGATACCGGCAGCAGCAGCGGCGGCGGCGGCGATTTGCCCTCTCGTCTCGATTCAGTCGCGGCGGCGGCGGTGGCGGCTGGGCCGAATTGCCGTGCGCGCGGCGGCGAGTGAGGAGGTGGCCGTGCACACGGTGACCGTCCACGATCGGCAGCGAGGGCTTGTGCATCGGTTCCAGGTGCCGGAGGATCAGTACATCCTCCACACCGCCGAGGGGGAGGAGATCGAGCTGCCGTTTTCGTGCCGGCATGGGTGCTGCACGGCGTGCGCGGTGAGGATCAAGTCGGGGAAGATCAATCAGCCCGAGGCGCTGGGGATCTCGGCGGAGCTCAAGGCGCAGGGGTATGGGCTGCTGTGCGTGGGCTATCCTCTGTCGGACGTGGAGGTGGAAACCCAGGACGAGGACGAGGTGTATTGGCTCCAGTTTGGGCGATACTTTGCGCGGGGGCCTGTGGAGCGCGACGATTATGCCCTGGAGCTTGCCACTGGGGATGAGTGAGCGAGATAAATTTTGTGCTTATAATTTATAAACATGTTTATAGTATAGTATAAAACTTGGGTTTAGACTGAGCTAATTTAATGATTCTAGTATTTTATAGAAATATTTTTTAAATTTAAACTGAATTTTCCTAACTACTTTTTGCAGCAAGAATCAATGCACAAAACCTAGTCAATGAAAAGTCAATGTACAGAACCTAGTCAATGCAAAGTCAATAAAAATCAGAAAGTAGACAGAAAATCTTTTCAACGGAATATCTTCTCATTGGCCATGACGGATGAAACTTTTGTAAGAATTTTTGCGGGACGCCACGAGTAGTTTTTTGGCATTTCAATGAAAATATTTTCTTCATTTCACTCTTGAAAACCAGTGATTTTCATTTTATAACAATGGTTGTATATTCGAATGTACAAGGTGACTGCGAAAAGAAAAATAAAAATGAAAATTGGATGTGTACGCAGTTCTCTAGAACTGGTAGCAACTGGACTTGGAGTAGCCGTGCTTGGCCAGGTTTGGGAGGCAAGCCAGATCGATCATCGCCGGCGGGCCACACATGAACGCCACCGCCTCGTCCGACCCTCTGGCTAGGTGATCCCGGACAACCTCCTCGCTGATGTATCCCACACTGTACTTCCAATTGCTCGGCTCGCGAGGATGACTCAGGACGTACCACACCCGGAACTTGGCGGCGTGGCTCTCAGCCCACGAATCCAACTCCGCTCGCAGCATTATATCCTCGTCCGTCCGGTTGGCGTAGACGAGCGAGATCCGGGTGGTGTCCTCCTTGTCTCGAAGAATCGCCTTGATCACCTGGTAGACCGGCGTGATCCCAGTCCCTCCCGCGAGCATGGCGATGTCGCTCGCAAACTTTGCGTCGCCGTTGACGGTGAACTTCCCCCGCCCGAGGTACTGGATGTGTCCGATCGGTCCCTTGAGATTGATCGAGTCGCCGATGGCGAGCGAGTCGAGGTGCTGGGACATGATCCCTCCGCCCGGGAAGTTTGGGTGGACGTTCTTGTAGTAGACCCGGATGAGGAGCTCGACGTGGCCGATGGAGTCCTCGTCGTCGTCCGAGGAGATCGGCGTGTAGGCGCGGATGCAGAGCTTGGAGTTGACGGTGGCGGAGACGAGGACGTGCTTGCCAGTAGGGAGGCCGAGGACTTGATCGCGGGATGGGAGAGCGAAGCGGAGGCGGCGGAGATCCGCGCTGATGTTCACGCGCGCGACGAGCTTGCAGGGGATGTTCTGCCGCGGGTTGAGCGCCACTGGCCTCGATGCCGGGAGGGCTTCCAGGATTGGAGCGAGCGTGTTGAGGCTGAGCGCCGAGAGCGCCCGGTTGCCGCCGTGGAGCGACGTCTCCGGGCTCGTGTCCGCCGACGAGAAGCTCCCGGCCGTGCTCACGAGCTCCCCAATCTTATAGTCCTCGAGCAGCGCCTTGGCGCGGGCCGAGTGGATGGCCTCGAACTCCTCCGTGCAGTCGGTGCCGGCGTTGATGAGGATGCTGTCTGCGCCGCCGGGGTGATCCTTGAGGAAGGACGTGCAGTCGTAGACGGAGCTGTTGACGACGATCCAGGGCGAGTCGGGCTTGCTGTGCTTGCGCACCTCGGACATGGTGATGGAGGAGAGGCCCTGGTTGAGGAAGGGCGAGGAGGCGCTCTTGATCATGGCCTTGCCGGGCTTGCTCGACGCAATCAGGTCGCTGCTCTTGGTCTCCTCTTCCTTTTGCTTCACCATCCAGCCGCCGGGCTGGTTGCCCGGCCGCGTCGGGTGCTCGAACGCCAGCGCCACGCCCCCCAGCTTCCCCTTGCAGGGATGGACCTTCACCCGGAACCAGCAGTTGTTCATCATCCCCTGCCACCATAGCCCGAGAGATCGAACCATCAGAACTACCGATCAATCCCAAAGATCCACTGCCACTTACCATGAGGTTCCAGATGAGCTCCTTGGGCTGCGTGTTCATGCTCTCGTCCCACGCGCGCACCGCGATCTCCCGCGCCTGGAGGAGCTCCATCGCCTCCACGCCCAGCTCCCAGAAGCTCCAACACCAGTGCTTGCCATACTTGGTGGGCCGCTCCGGGTGCGTCAGATCCGCCAGCGCCCACGTCTCGCCGCCGTCGAGCGTCACCTCAACCCTGATCACCTTCCTCCCGCCCCCTGCCATCGCCATTTTCAAAAGTCAGCATATTCTCGTGCAAAATATCTCCCGTACCGGAATATGCGTAGCCGCTCATCTTGTACGGCGACTGTATCGACACCGGGTTGATGGGCAGGCTGTCGCCGTGCGCGGGAGTGGTGATAACCGAGTTGATGTTGAGCTCGTTGATCACATACTCGGGCCTCTTCCACCACCCTAGAAATGGAGCAAAACAAAAAAAAAACAAAAATGGAGATGAGAGCGAGCTCTTCCCAGATTCTTGGAGTGGAGATTCTATGACGCGAGAGAAACAAAAGAGATGGGGAACAAGGAAAGAATTATACTACTGACCTTCGGCGCTGGCAATGTCGGAATCGACGTGTGAGGGCAGCACCTTGTTGTCCTGGTAGTGGTAATAGTTGGTGGACTCGGCGGCGGTGACCTCGATCTTACGCAGCCACTTGACCATCCGGCCGCCGATCACGCCTGGGATGATCATCCGTACGGGGAAGCCGTGGTCGGGCGGGAGAGGGCGTCCGTTTTGCATGTAGGCGACTAGCACGTCCTGCGTCACGTCCATGGCCTTCTCCACCCGTATCCCCGTGCCGTACCCGTCGCCCCCGCATTTGGGGAGCGAATCCCCGCCCTCGAAGCACACGAAGCGGGCCCCGCGGCGAAGGCCGCCGCAGGCTTTGAGCACGTCGCGGAGAAGGGCGCCCTTCCACACGGACGTGCTGACGCCCGCCGCCCCCCAGTTGAAGCCCACGCTCTGCCGCACCATGTTTTGCTCCTTGCGCCGGTTGCCCGCACAGACGAGCGTGACGGGCAGCTCCCGCGCGGGGAGGCGCAGGAGGTCGTCCATGGTGAGCACCGCGGGGCGGCGCACCATGCCGCCCACGTGGAGGCGCCACTCGGCCCAGGTGCCGCGCGGCACGGGCCCGTGGTTGCGCACGTAGTGCAGCGCCGCCGGGGTGATGAAGCCGTGCTGCATGAGGCGGGGCAGCGGCGGCTCCGCGTTGAAGGGGTGGCGGCCCGTGAGGCGGACCATGTCCGGGTGCCGCGACACCCACTCGTCCGAGGTGCCCACGTCGCGCTCGTCGCTGCCAAACTCCTCCACTTCCTCCACTTGCTCTTCCAGGATCCATTCCTCCTCCTCCTCCTCCGATTCTTCTTCGTCTTCCTCGCACGAATTCTTGGGCTTGGGCAGCTCCAGCGGCGGCTTGACTGCCGCCTCTCCACCGCCGCCGCCGCCGACCGGCTTGATGGATTGCTCGTCCGCGAACTTTACGTGATGGTGGTGGTGGTGGTGGTGATTGTTGTGATGCGCCACCGCCGCCGCCTTGGCCTCGATTCCATTGGCGAGCACCATTCCCCCGTTGACGAGCAACAGCGAGCTGCTTTTCTTGGGCAGATCCACCATAGCCGTCCCCATTCCTTTAAATGGATCCTCTCCCCCCTCCAATTGCTTGATCACGCCTCCATCGCCTCAAATCAATCTCCTCCTCAATCTCCCGATTCTTCCTCTCAAGAGCTATCAATGCGAAAAACAGAACCACACCAAACTCTCGAATCGCAATCGAATCCCTCCACCGCGCACAGCAGCGCCAATCCAGATTCTCAACGGAAGGACGGATCGAGCATTCCAATTCCGAGACGCAAGCCAATCGAATCGATACTCTCTCTGTCCAAGTAGAGGGAGAGAGAAGTAAAAGTCACGAAATGTGTGTTCTTGCTTGGCCCCTTGGAGGGGTCAACCAACAAGGAAGGAAATAAAACTGCAAAGGACTCAAACACAAACCACACACACACACACACACACACACACACACACAAAAGTAAGCCTAGACAGGGAGGGGTGTTTTCCTCTTTTTATACAAGGGTGGTACGCTGTTAGAACTTGGCCCATGACCATGGGAAGGGCCAACCTTTCTTTCTCCGCTTTCTTAGAGCGCACAGCCCCTTCTCTTTCCTAATTGATTTGAGACACTGAAAAAAATAACACTTTTAACAAAGAATAAGAGAAAATAAAACAAGACAACAACGCGAAGAATTCTCTCACTTTCTCGAGCCAAGTGCTCTGACGTATGAACCGCACGTTTGTCACTGTTGAATCTTCCTGGGTGGTTCTTCTGTCGGACGCTGGTTTGATCAGTGGTCGAGCGTTAATCATCGGTTTGATCAGTAGCAAAGGATTCGAAGTTGATCGAGTCATTAGTCACCTGGTTTGATCAGTAGCACAACTTTTGAAGTACCATTTGGTTGATCGAGATCATTCGTCTCCGGAGCGGTTGCTCGGGTGTCAGCTTCAAGGGATGCGATGCGTCTGAATCGACCCACTCCATTGTTAATGCATTAGGAATATATAAACCCAAATTCTTCCCAAAAGACTTGGAGAGCAGTGACTCACCTGGAAGTTATTTTAATCTCGAGCTCGTGAAGTTTCTCTTTTTTTTTTGTTTCGCCCCCACCTCGATCGACTAATTTGTTCCTTCATGCTCGCAACAGCAGCACCACCAGGCTGTCCTGGCTATTTCAAAACACTTGGCAGTATCCCCTCCACGATTAGTGTCCGGCATTAGAGACTAAGACACCTTGCCAATAGCTCTTCGACTCCCCAAGGAGCAGTAGCGTTTGCATCACCCACGGCACAGCCCAGAACTGTTTTGACGGGACCACCGTTGGAATCACTGCTACTTGACTCTTGGCTTGTTCCACGGGGCACACCCAAAAAATCTGTGGATCTCATACTTCAGCACAGCCGGCAGTATTAGTCACAACGACAGAATCAGAACCATAGAAAAAACATCTTGACTTGAGCAAACCTCTTTTATTTTTCCTTCACTCTCCATGCAATACAGAGGATCTGACCATCCAAACGAGCATTAAGAGGAGGAAAAGCAAAAAATAAACATGTACCTTGTCAACACTCCTCTACTTTAAGCTCCTGGAGCAAATGATAAAGTGAGAGCCGAAGAGAACACAGGGATAGAAGACAGTCACGTATACCTTCGTTTCAAGCTGCCGAAGGAATCATCCCAGTCTGCCTCGCGTACGCAAAGATCCCGCCAGCTTCGATCACCGGCGCGGCATCGCCCAGCGGCTTGAGCGCGTACTCCTTTCCAGTGGAGTGATTCACCACCACGTCGCGCTCCATGTCCACGGTCACGTCGTCCCCGTTGTGGAACTCGTCACAGATGCGAGCTTCACACTCGACGGGATACATCTCGCCTGTGGCCACCGAGTTCCGGAAGAAGATCCTGGCGTAGGACTCGGCCACCACCACCTGGATCCCGGACGCTCCCAGAGCAACAGGGGCGTGCTCGCGGGAGGAGCCACAGCCAAAGTTGGAGCCGGCGATGATGATCGAGTACTTGGTCTTGCTCTTGCCGGGCTCCATGAACTGTCCATAGTGTGGCGGAAGCCCGGCCATGGCGTAGCTCCCCAGCTTCTCATACTCGTCCGGCTTGGAGGGGACGAGCGTGAGATACTCGGCCGGAATGATCTGATCGGTGTCGATATTGTCACGCACCACGAAGCATTTGCCCGAGATCCCACGCGACGGTGTGTCCCCGGCCATGGCGATCACGGGCGCCGCGGAGGCCTTGATCGCCGGAGAGAATGTAGCTATGCGCTGGAGCTTGATGCTCTTGCTGCCCCAGATGCTGCTGGCATTGGCGGCGCTTGGCAGGGAGATCGAGGCGCGAGGATGCGAACCTGGTGGATATGGAGCTGGCTTGGATGCCGCGGCGGCGCCATGCACGATGAAGCGAGCGCTGGAAGTCGCCATTTAAACCCTAGTGAAGCCCTAGAAGAGCCCTAGAATGGGGAGGAAGAAGAAGGGCGGGACGGGGGAGGCGTGGAAGGATGTGACGCCGCAGGAGCCGACATCGCTGCTCCTGGGCAGCGGCCAGGGAGGTATGGATCAATTTGCGAGCGACGCGATCGTGGATGTTCTCCTTTGCAGGTTTTGTGTCGCTGGAGGAGATTGATGAGGATCTGGTGTTTGGACTCGAGCCTCCGGCCGGGGAGGATTTGAGTGGGAAGAATGCAAAGAAAGGGAAGAGGAAACGCGCGTTGGAAACTGATCTAGCCGAGGAGAAAAATGCGAAGAAGAATAAGAAGAGAAAAGAGAAAATTCTCGCTAGTGACACCGATCTAGCCGAGGGACATGCTGCGACGAGAAAGGAGAAGAAGAAGAAGAAGAAGGGAAATGCCGAGCCTGATGATGCTGCCCAAGATAAAGAGGCTTTAAACTCTCCTCGAGGGAAGAAAAGGAAGAACAAGCGTTTGCGCGAAAATACTACGTCCGGTGCCAACAAGAGATCAAAGCTAGATGGTGGAGGTAAGATTTTAGATGCAGGTGTTTTTCTTTTCTCAAAACGATCTTCGTTCTTACAGATAATGGGAGTGAAGGTTTGGAGAGAGTCGATGTTGTTCTTCCCGAATGGAACGAGTTGCGACTTCATCCTTCACTGCTAACAGCTCTTTCTACTCTTGGCTTTACCACTCCAACTCCCATCCAGAAGGCATGCATTCCAGCAGCTGCGCACAAGGGAAAGGTGTGGTTACCTTTCCGTATTTTTATATTTCATGTTCATGTTTTTATTTACTTGCTCTAGGACGTTATCGGGGCCGCAGAGACTGGATCAGGAAAAACCTTAGCTTTTGGCATACCAATTTTGCAAAGGCTTCTTGATGAACGCGATAAGCTCTTGCGACAGAACAATGTTGCTAGTGACAGTCCACTTCGTGCTCTCATCGTCACACCTACGCGAGAATTAGCTCTGCAGGTAATGTAACTAAGCATCTCTTGCTTTCTAACATGTGGAATGACAGATTTGCGACCATATTCGAGCAGTAGCTAAGTTTACAGATATCAAGGTCGCTCCTATTGTTGGTGGCATATCTACGCAAAAACAGGAACGCCTTCTTAAGCGAAGGCCTGCTATTGTCGTTGGAACTCCTGGTCGCCTATGGGAACTCATGAGCAGTGGCGAAAGCCACCTTGTCCAGGTATTTTCTAGGACTGGTTTTCTTATTATTTCGTGTTTTTTATTGTTCTTTCTTGGCAGCTCCAAGAGATCTCATTTTTTATACTGGACGAGGCTGACCGCATGATTGAAAAAGGCCATTTTCAAGAGCTAGAATCCATAATTGATTTACTACCGAAGCACGGTGAACCGCGAGAGGATTTAGATCCTGCAGACAACGTTTTTTTGTCCGCTAAGAAACGGAGGCAGACTTTGGTGTTTTCAGCTACCTTGACCCTGCCTCCCGACTTCAAGAAAAAACTCAAGAAAAGCTATGGAGCAAGAAAGAAATCAGAGCAGCATTCTCTATCCTTACTGTCGGAGAGAGCCGGGCTCAGCGACACTGCTGAAGTTGTGGATTTGACATCGAAGAACGTCGTTGCTGAAAAGCTTACGGAGTCGGTTATCGAGTAAGAGCTGCATTTTTGCCTGACACGTCTCACCTGACGCTTTGTATTGTTTTCTGCAGATGCACCGACGAGGAAAAGGATGCCTACCTATACTACGTCCTCAAGGTACATGGATGTGGGCGAACAATTGTGTTTTGTACCTCCATTGCGGCATTAAGAAGACTAGCAGCTATTCTACGTCTTTTAGAGGTTCCGGCGTGGCCTTTGCATGCACAGCTACAGCAACGGCAGAGACTAAAGGTATGGCATGTCATACGTTTTGAGTACGCATTTAAATTCTGCACTTTCCAGACAATGGATAGGTTCCGAGCCAGCACCGATGGTGTGCTTGTCGCAACGGACGTTGCTGCACGGGGTTTAGATATTCCGGGAGTTCGGACTGTTATACATTATCAGTTACCACACTCAGCAGAGGTATGCATAAGATATGTTTAAACCGGTGCGACATATTCCCGTGTCCAACAGATGTATGTTCATAGAAGTGGAAGAACAGCGCGTGCTGACAAAGATGGATGCAGCATTGCTCTAATCTCTCCGTCGGAGAAGTCGAAGTACTTGACACTCTGCCGTGCGCTATCAAAGGTACTCTGGAAAACAAGTGGATTTCTTGCGTGATATAGTGTTTGCTACAGTCCAGTGGCTTGACAAGCTTTCCAATCAATTCCGGGTATATACCCTCCGTTGAGAAACGAATAGGGCTTGCTCTCAGAATTGATAGACTATTACGGGAGAATTCGAAGGTAAATGGCATTCCTTGTTCTACAATGGACTGGCTTTAATTTTCGAGAGCAGAAAAAGGCGAAGAGCACCTGGTTTGAGCGAAATGCGAAGGAACTCGACATCGAAATTGAGCGCAAGGATGAGGACAATGACAACGTTGAGGCGAAGCTCAGTGGAAAGAAGTCCATGCAATTGAGAAGCTTACAAGAGGCAAGCAAGAAATTGTTGCGTTTCTCTATCTAAAGCGGTACCAACACGCAGGAACTGAAGCAGACGCTCAAACATCCTTTGGAGCTGAGAGGCTTCTCTCGTCGCTTTGTTGCTGGGGTACGTATAAAGCTCAAATGCTGAGTCTTGTCTAACTCCGCTTCCTTTGTTACTTGTAGACTGGATTGACTCCTCTGGCCGCACAGCAACTAAAGGATTATGTGGACAATGCTCCCGGAGGCCGGTTCGTCGTTATCGGTCAGAAGGAAGTGGAACCTCTACAAGCACTCAAAGCACAACAATGCGGATAAAACCAGAGAGTTCTTACTGTAAGCTTTTTCAAGGATTTGCTACAAACATGCTTGAATCCTTATCTCAGGGGAGAGTGTAGCCTGCACCGAGATTGAACGAAAGGTCAGTTCTTTTATCCCCAACAGCAGCAGCAAGGCAAAAAGAAAGTGAGAGAGTACTAACTTCCACACTGATAGTTGTGAGGCAGCTCCCGGTTGCATCGCTTTGCGATTTTGAGAGCGGTGCTGAGCTTGAGCACCTTGGTGACATCTCCGGTGATCTTGGGACAGACGCAGTCGGGCTGGGCGGCCCTCACGAACTTGCAGCACTTGGAAGACGGTTTGGTTCCAATGAGCACGGCAGTCATGCAATTCCCGACGAGACCATTCACCTGGCTATCGCAGTCTAGAGTCGTGTCGTCGTCGGTAGCAACCTGGATCAAGAACAGGGAGAAGAAGAGCAGGAAAACTCCCAGGACAAGAGTTGCCCGCGGCTTGATCGTCTCCATTTGTGCTGCTCCCGCGACGGAGGACGAAGGAGAGACTCTGGGAGCGATCTAGCGACGAACTCGAGAGAAGAGCAGCATTTATTTGTGAGCGGTTTCCTTTAAAAAGGAGTTTTTTTCGGATGGGTGGACTGAGCACAAGTCTGGTGCTGCAGCACGCGTACTCCTAGAAAGCAACCTTTATACATTTTCTTAGACAGCCATCGAGAAGTGCCAGATGATTATTTCGGTATTGACATAAGCGAGATAGTGGTCGACGTGATGCAAAAGAACTCCAAGGATGTCTAGGGTCTTTGACTCGAGAAGAACATAGCTGAAAGTAGTCAAAGGAAGTCTTTAGAATTTTATTGACTGTTTTAAATTTATAAACTGGGACAGATCTTAACACTAGAGCTGGATGCGAGCCGGCAAGCGGGTCTTTACAACAGAAGGATGAGCTCGCTGATATGCAATGGAGGGAACATGGTGCTAGTCACTAAGTCGACAGTGCTGAGGGAGTTTGCGGAGCGGATGAAGCGCGAACACCAAGGCTACCCAATCTACGTGCGGGCAGCAACATTCAACAGCGCAGCTAGCTTTCGCTGAGGTCAAGTCTCATCAGATCAGCAAGTCTTTTGGTTAACTGAAAGGTAGGATATTAGGGGAGAATTCCTAGGCAAATGGTGTCCTTTTACAGTACAATGGACTGGCTTTGATTTCGAGAGCAGAAAAAGGCGAAAAACACCTGGTTTTTATGAGCGAAATGCGAAGGACCTCAACAATGAAATTGACCGCAAATATAAGAACAATAACAACGTTGAGATGAAGTTCACTGGAAACAATCTATGCAATTGAGAAGCTTACAAGAGGCAAGCAAGAAGCTGTTTCGTTTCTCTATGAACTAAAGCAGATGCCTAAACATCCTTTGTTGCTGGGTTATGGCCCTTTCCTTTGTTACCACTGGCCGCACGGCAACTAAAGGATTATGCAATGCTGTTCGTTGATAGCAGAACCTCTAGACTCAAAGCACAACAATGCGGATAATTAAACGTAGAATTCTTACTGTAAGCTTTTTCAAGGATTTGCTACAAGCATGCCTGAATCATCAACTTCTCTTTTCTCAGGGAAAAGTGTAGCCTGCACCGACATTGAACAAAAGGTCAGTTCTTTTATCACCAACAGCAGCAAGGCAAAACGAAAGTGAGAGACTACTAACTTCCGCACTGATAGTTGTGAGGCAGCTCCCAGTTGCACTGCTTTGCGATTTTAAGAGCGGTGCTGAGCAGACGCTCGGTGATCATTTTGGTGACATCTTTGGTGATCTTGGGACAGAGGCAGTCGAGCTGGGCGCTCCTCACGAACTTGCAGCACTTGGATGACGGTTTGGTTCCAATGAGCACGGCAGTCATGCAATTCCCGGCGAGACCATTCACTTGGCTATCGCAGTCGAGAGTCGCGTCATCGTCGGCAGCAACCTGGATCAGGAACAGGGAGATCAAGAGCAAGAAAACTCCAGAGCACAGGACAAGAGTCGCCCGCGGCTTGATCGTCTTTATTTGTGCTACTCCCGCAAGGGAGGACGAAGGAGAGACACTCGACACTGGGGAGCGATCTAGCAAAGAACTCTAGAGAAGAGCAGCATTTATTTGTGATCGGTTTCCATTAAAATGGATTTTTTTTTGCGGATGGGTGGTCTGAGCACAACTCTGGCACTGCTGCACAACACGCTTATTCCTAAAAAGTAACTTTTATATGCCATGCGCAGTTGATTATTTTCATATGGCGTGCAATTTGTAAATAATTTGCCGCACTATACATAATTGTAGCATTAAATATTAACAATATCTTATAATATAATTTCTTTAACACTTTTAGGTGTTAGAAAATATAGTTTGATATTTATAATTTATGAACACTTTTATAATTTATAAACTTTTCTAAACACTTAATTTATTAGTTTTCTTAAGCAAACCCTGAACTCGACTAAATCCTGCCCGTATGTAGATGCTCGCGCTGAGTCTGGTGGTCCAGTGACTACCACTTACATGGTGCGATGATCCGCCCCGGTGATTTCGGGCGCTGTGCAAGTTAGAGTGTATGTACCCAATTTATAGCAAGTTTTCAGTATTGAAATAAGAGAAATAGTGGTCCGATAAATACGGTTTGAGTCATCTTTGAGTGAATAAGAACCTGGATAGAAATTTTCACCTTTGCATGGTAATGCCTTCACAGAGGAACAATAACAAAAAGGAAACGTCTCAGATGGCTCCGTCGAATGCGACGACGAAAAGGCTGTTCCATGGCAAAGCTGCAGCCTTTCCAACGCTGTTAATCGACGAGGCGAACCGGTTCCACGACTGGAGCCTGTGCCCCAAGGAGCAGCATCATCTCAGGAATCTCCAGGATTACTTTTTCAAGGAGACAAACACAGCCAACGTGATCCTTTGCAGCTCCGAGGACATCAGGTCAGGCTCAACGAGCATGTACCCTTCCAGAGATACTTCACAAGGATGATACGTGACCTGCTGGAAAAAGAAGCTCATGAGTGTTCTTGCACCGCAAAGCACACAGCGTTCTCTACTTCCAGAGGACCTATGGCAGTATCTTTTCTTATGTCGGTGGAGTCTCAGACGAGTGGCAGGCACTTGCGAGAAAGCTTCGTGGAGGCTGGAAAAGGAAGCTTTTTTGTCCTCTGTTCTTTTTGATGTGGAGACCATGAGTCTTCGCACCAAGTGAGCGGATCCAGAGCTGTTGAAGGAGCTCGAAGCATCCTGGACCTCCGAAGGAGTACGACGCGCTCTGTGGGGTGTATTGAGCGAGAAGTAAGTACCTCATTGACGCCGGCATCGTTTCAGAGAAGGCACTCCACAGCTTGGTGCAACACGAGTTCGTCGCAACTTCTCGTGTCATGGTACAAAGGCCAATACCCTCTGGTCATACATTTTCATGACGTCAATTGTGCAGGTGTGTGCAGAGTATGTTATTTTGTTCTTTGTCATTCTAATTCATGCAGGATCAAGCAGAAAGAAAGAAGGCATTGATATTATGAACCTTCTTTTTTCTTTGTTTGTAGTTACTCCCAGCAAAATGGTAAAAGTGTATCTTGCTTTGACTTCGTATAGAAGTGCTCCTAAGATTCGTTGGCACCATTCCAGTGCTCAGAGAGGGGGTTGCGGCAGTAGCTTTCTCTGTTTTCTTGCAGTTCATGCTCACGCCTGAACATTGGAACAAATAGTACAGATGCCTATCTCTTGGTATCTCCTTCGATCTCTAAGTTCTTAACAGCTTCTTGAAATTTTAGGGCTTGCAACTTTAATTGTGAGCGGGAAGCAATGGCAGATGTCTACGTGCTCCTGGGAATCGTTGGTAGAGAAAAACCAAGGTTCTTGCTGTAACTTGATTTTGTGTGTGTGTGTGTGTGTCTACAGGCAATGTCACAGCCATGGTCATGTTTTTGTCACCAACGTGAGAGACGACAGATCTTTAAAGACCACCTTTCGTGTTGTAACTGAAAATAAGGAGAAAAGATACCCATTTTTCTTTGTTTCTTGTTTCCAGGCCCACATTCTGGAGGATCATCAATTCTCGAGACACCGGATCCTTCTCGCCAGTCCCATACGCTTGCACGCTCCTCAATTGCCTGCTCTGGTTCTTCTACGGCCTCCCCGCCGTCACCTCCAACAACACGCTCATCGTCACCATCAACGCCGCCGGGATCATCCTCGAGTGCATCTACCTCATCGTCTTCTTCACCTTTGCCCCCGCAACCCACAGGGTGAGCGCTGCGAAAATCCTGTTTCTATGCTCTTCTACTTTGTCCTGCTTCTTGTCGACCAAAAGCAAAAGAAGGAAAAGGAGAAATGTTTTTCATCTCACCTGGCTTCGTGTTCCAGGGATATCTCAGCATGCTGCTCGTTGGTGTGGCGGGATTCTTCGCTGCCGCCATCGCAGTCACTCTCACAGCATTCCAGCAGGAGCAAAGAGCCAAATTCGTCGGTGCGGTGTGTGTGGTGGTCGGGACTCTCATGTACGCCTCGCCACTTTCAGTCATGGTACCAGAGCTACTCGTCTTCCTAGAAAAACAGAAGAGAACTTTAGAACACAGAAACAAAACTTTCCTTTACCCTCTCCGACTTGCAGAAGCTGGTTATCGCGACTCGAAGCGTCGAATACATGCCCTTTTCTCTGTCTCTCTGTAGCCTGATCAATGCGCTGCTATGGACTAGCTATGGAGTTCTCAAGCACGACAAGTTCCTCATAGTAAGCTAAGCCTTCAAAAGTCGAAGAGCTTCTTTCACTGCTTTGTCCATAGGTCCCAAACACGATTGGAGCTATCCTGGGACTACTCCAGCTCGCAATTTACTCTCACTTCCAAAGGGAAGAAGACACCGAGTTCTTTCACAATCTGCCAGACTTCTCACCGCCTCATCACAGCAAGCTCAAGCACTCCAAGTCATCAAACTCATATCTCAAATGAACGAAGAAAAAGCAAGAAGAGAAGTTGAACAACAAAAAGGCTTCGTAGGCATTACAGAGATCAATCAAAGACCCCTCGGATAAAAAGAACCAAAAAAAAAGTAGAAAAGAAACAAACTCTCATCAGCGACGAACCTCTCCTGTGTTCTCTTATGTCGTTAGGAAAAACTTCTTTAGCCCTTGACCCTCTTCCTGGCCTCCTCCACGATGGAAAGCTTGATACCTTTGCCTTTGGGAAGAGAGACCCACGGCTTGGTCCCCTGGCCAATGGTGAAAACGTTGCCCATTCGGGTGGCGAAGTCCTGACCGACCGAGTCCTTGATGTGAATGATGTCGAAGCTCCCCTTGTGCTTCTCTCGGTGCTGAATGGTACCGACTCTCCCCCTGTTGCGACCACCAGTGACCATCACCACGTTGCCAACGTCGAACTTGATGAACTCCTTGATCTTGCCAGTCTCCAGGTCGATCTTGATGGTGTCGTTGGCCTTGATCAGAGGGTCCGGGTAGCGGATGGTTCTCCCGTCGTAAGTCGTCAGGAACGGGATCCCCTTGGCACCGAACCTCACGGCGCGGACCTTGCAGAGCTTGAACTGTTGACACCAAAACAAAGTTACTACGGAAAGAAAGTACTTGGAGATGTGAGTGAATGAGTACCTTGGCCTCCTCGGCGTTGATCGAGTGCAAGGTGAATCGGCCCTTGCTGTCATAGAGGAGACGGTAGTTCTCATCCACCTTGCCGACCGTCAACACATCTAGAAAAGCGAAACAAGCAAGTCAGTCGGGTAAGAGAGGAAAAAAAATCGAGAACTTACCCATGAATCCAGCGGGATAGCATTTGTCCGTCCGGACCTTGCCATCAATCGAGATGAGCTTTTGCATCACGATTGCGACCACCTCTCGGTAAGTCAAGGCATAGTTGAGCCTGTTTCGAAGTACAATCACCAGAGGCAAGCATTCTCTCTCCTTGTGAGGGCCCGACGATGGCTTTGGAGCCTGGAAAAGCAAGGCCGCCGTGAGCGCACGGATCTACCTGGGAAAAACAAAGGGGAAGAGAGACTTACGAAGGCACCGCCGAGCTTGCTCAGCATCCAATGCTTGGGGGCATTGAGCACCTTCAGATGCTTCTTCGGCCCGCGCACCTGCACAACACAAGAATCGTAAGATCCCGCGATAGCCGCGCGCTCTCACCATTGCTGCACGCTCCTCCGCCTAGAACCCTAGCCGCCGTGGAAACCCTCAAAAACAGGAATTAGGGTTAGGGCATATGAAAATTTTAAAATATTTTTTAATGTTAATATTGAATAGAGTATTCTTAAGAAAGAAAATATCTTATTAGTTTTTCTCATAACTAACTCAAAGCTTTTGAGCATTAAGAACACTAAATATATTGTTAAATATCCTAAATAATTCAGATAAATACTATTTGCAATTTATTATTTTCTTATAAATTATTAATGAAAATACACAATGAGAATTTTATGACAATCAATAAGATGATAAAACTAACTCATAAAGTAATTCACATTATAATATGTACATAAATCAAAATTTAATGTTAAAAAAGTCACTATTAAATATCAGTAGATATTGAAAACTATAATATAGTAAAACAAAATACATTTTTTATATATTACATGAATAAATTAGTGAATTTATAATTCAAAAAAGTTTAAGAAAAATAAAATTCTATATATATTTAGGATGGTTTTTGCAATAAATCTTATCTTTATGGATTTTCATGTGATATATATATATATATATATATATATATATATATATACTATGAACTTATATCCATACATATAAGAGAGATACCACGTGCACACAAACACACATATATATATATATCTCTTTCTTTCTTCTCGTCTAGATACACATACACGCACACGCGAAAAAGAGAAAAACAGAATTT